TGAGATAAAGATCGTTGAAGGAGTACAACGGTTACAACAATGATACCCCTAAGCAGAGAAATAGCTAAATTCCTGGACCTTTTAAAGTTCTGACAGAAAAATAGCGTAGTCAGCCTCAAAGATGTTAAGGTGGTGCTTAAAGCGCCATATGAGAGTTTAACGGATTAAACCCAAAATAAGATATTTGAAGATACACTATCTTTAGAAAAGATGAGAAGATCTAGGAGAGCATGGTATGTAGAGGTATGAAGAGACCTAAGACTTGAAAAGAAGCGGGACTACATGCCCACTTCAGTGATTCAAAAACAACGAATCTCTCAATACCTGTTGATGTTGTATGACTCATACAACACCTATTGTTAGCTTTTCGAAGAAGATGAATAATGTAAACAAGAATCTTGTCATACAGGAGCCTGTAGAATCAATTACCTTTTGGCAATAAAGAGCAACAACAACCCCATATGAAAGTGCCAGTAGATGAGGCCCTAAAAGGCCTTAAAGAATTAGTAAACCAGTTTTTCCAATGACTATGAAGCCGTAAAGAAATTCAAATGGAGGGTGATTCCACCTCATTTAAAGAAGTCACGAGAAGCGTTTACTCGTTTAAATGGCAAGAAGTTATGGAAGTTGAAATGAATTAGGTGAATACCAACGATGTTTGGGACTTAGAAGTAATTCTCAATAGAGCCAAAACAGTAGGTTGTTAATGAGTCTATGAGACAAAATGTGACTCTAAAGGAAATGTAGAAAGATATAAAGTTGAAATGAATTCGATGAGTACCAATAATGTTTGGGACTTAGAAGTAATTCCTAATAGAGCCAAAACAGTAGGGTGTTAATGGGTCTACAAGACAAAATGTGACTCCAAAGGGAATGTAGAAAGATATAAAGCACGACCAGTGGCAATATGCTTTAAGCAAAAAGAATGAATAGATTACAATGAGAGTTTTCTCTCCAGTCTTATGTAAGGATTCTTTTAGAATCATAATGGTGTTAATGACTCATTATGATTTAGAGTTACATCAGATGGATGTAAAGACGGCATTCCTCAACAGGGATTTATATGAAAACGATTACATAGCACAACCCAAAAGGTTTTGTCGTGGAAGAAAAGAACATATGGATGCCGCCTATAGAAATCCATTTATGGATTAAATGTAAGTCTCTAGATAATAGTATTTGAAGTTGATGAAAACAATGAGAGAGTTTGGGTTTTAAAGAAAATGAGAAGGACAATAACGTTTATGCGAAGTTCAAGAATGAAAAATTTATTTTCCAAATCCTGTGAAGATGACATTCTACTCACTAGTAGTGATGTTAATCTGTCATTGAAGAAGAAAAAGTTTTGTCCTCAAGTTTCAATGTGAATGATCTTGGTGAAGCGTCATTGGTTCTAGGAATTGAAATTCACCGATATAGAAGAAAATGAGGTATTAGGACTATCGCAAAGACATACTTAGAAAAAGATTCTAAAGAAGTAAAGTATGCATGCGAGTAAACCTACGCCTGCTTCTATAGTCAAGGGTAATAGATAAGGGAACTTTCAGTGTTCTAGGAACTGATATGAGATCGATCAAATGAACATGGTTTCATATGCTTTAGCTGTTGGAAGCATGATGAGTGTACAAGTACAAGTAATAACTTACCCTGACGTAGTTTATGTATCCGGAATATTTTGGCAGAAGTCCAGTCCAGATATAAATCACTGGAATGGAGTTAAGAATGTCTTGCAATTATGCAAAGTATCATAGGCCTCATGCTGAGTAAGAAAGAACAAGTACTCTCAAATAGTTGAGGGTACAAAAGTTAAGTCTTTGCGAGATGTGTAGTGAAATCCACAGCAGTTGCTAACACTCGTAGTTGGAGTATTATTGTGGAAAAGCTCCAAAGAAACAGTTGTGGTGTCATCAGTGATGCATACCACAGTATAGCTTGACATGAGGCTTAAGGAATAGGCAAAAGGAGGTTAAGGAAATTTGTACCCGGATTTAACAATAGTAGACAACAGCAATAACCATTTAAAGTAAGTTAACTCCTAAGACAACAGGTCAAGTGTGCTGCCAAACACATTGACACTAAGTTATATGTTGTAAAGGAGAAAAATCTAGAATCATTTTGAAAGCATTGAGCACATAAGTACCGAGTAAGTACTTGCGGATCCGCTTACCAGAGGCTAATCACCCAGTGCATTCAGAGAACACACAGTCGACATGGGTTTATGGGAAAGCCTATGATTTCTGGATACTAAGGGCCTAGTTGAGTATATGTTTTAAAAGCAGAGGTGCGCGTTGTAACTATTTAATCTAATGGCAACAGACCGTGATGATGAGGCACGCCTATGCACTAATATGTGATGGAATGGGAACAAGATAAAGTAAGTAAGTTAAATTTAAGAAATAAGGTGAGATCAAGGGGGAGAATGTTAGTTTGATCTCAACCAATTGACCCATGACCAATTGGGCCCTTGGATCCGCGCCCTGATCGGGGGCGTCCAACCGCTCCATGGTTGGTGGCCCCCCGTCGCACAGCACCATAAAAGGGAGGTGGGGGCTGGGGCATAAGGTACGAGGTTGACCTGAGCCGCCGCAACCCGCCTCTGTGAGAAACCCTAACTCGATCTAGAGGGAGGTGTCTTGCTAGCGATGGGAAGACCCACCGCCTCGTCGTCGCCGAGATAGCACCACCTCAGCACCACCGCCTTCTCCATTTCGGACTTCACAGCATCACCGACATCACTATGGACGGCTCCACCCACCACCAAACCCCTCCGATGACCGATGACATCTCACCTCTCTCCTTCCCTCTCTGTCTCTCTAGTTCTACATGTACTAGGATGCACTACATCTTTTATCCCGAATAGAACCATTCTACCGGCTAGATCTATGCTCCTAATGATCCTATATGATTAACACTTAGGTGAAGCCATTTGCAAATAAGCCAGCCAAACAAGGCCTAAATATACATTCCAACATCTTTAATATGGCACCTGCTCATATCCCATCCTACTTATGAGTGTTAGAGATATTGTGGGCTCTCTTCAAATCACAAATTTTTAGTTTTAGTAGTTTACCTCCTGTGCACGTCTTGGACCCGATCACATTGTCCCACTCGAGCTCCCTCCACACCACCGCCCTAGATCTACCAAATTTTAGGCCTTGGGCTTCTTGCCCAAGCTTAGCCCCTCCTCGTCACCCCACCACAACGCTATCCTCGCTCGAGCATGACCTCTCTCTCCCCTCGACTACATCCTACTAGAGCTTGATCAAGAAGGGAGCGAGCGATGGTGCGGCGAAGCGAGGAGGAGCGACCATGGAGGTCACACTTGCGGTCATGGTTGGAAAAGGGGGGAGGGATGAAGAGGAGGTAGTGGTGATAGAGCTTGGGAGGTGATGCCTGGGAGGTGGTCGGGATCAGGGTGAGGGAGAGAGACATAATAAGGAGTGTTTGGTTGCCTAGGCTATCCCTATCTAGGCTCCCGCAATGCAATTTAAAAGTATTTGGTAGCCTAGTTAAAGCTCGTCGCCAGGCTCTGGTAGTGCACTAACACCCTCCTATCTAGGCTTAGCAAGAACACTTGGGCGACCATTTTCACGGCTGTGCTTGGCTAGCGCTCATGTCATCTCTCACCTCCTTGTCCATCGCTCCTCCGCGAGGACCACCGGGCGACTTCCTTGACGCGAGCACTACCAGCCGCCGGCCTCCCCGCGAGCCGCTGTCGGCCACCACACGAGCACCGTAGCCATATCGTGCGGGATTGGCCGACCCCGCGCGAGCTCCGCTTGGCCCTTGTGCGTGCTCCCATGGCCTCCTCCCTTCACGGCTCCACCACCACTGCGCCTCCACCACCCGCAAAATCGTGTAGGGACGACGAGGAGCTTGAGGTTCAGGGGCGCCTCCGTGGTGCGCTTCTACAGTCATGGGCCATGGATCCAACCCCATAGCACCGGTCGCAAGGCGTAGCTCTACCCCACCGCCATTGACACAAGCTTGACATGCGCCATGATGATGCTCACCGAGTGTTCGATAGAATGTGTGATAGGGTAAACTTACCATGTCAAAGATGAGTTGATTCTATGTATGCCAAACTGCACACCAAACACACTAATTCTAATACAGGCTTACACAATCCATGCAATCAAACAAAGTGTATCTTGTATAGCACTAGCTAGACTTTGACTGCCATGGCTTAGAAAATTAGCCAAGCTAGGATAGCCTAGGCAACCAAACACATCAATAGAGTGATGTGGAAGGGGAAGATAAAAGAATAAAAAAATTATATCAATGATCGGCGGGCCATATGCATATAAGAAAAGTAGAGTTCCTTTTTTGAAGCTAGCGCTATAGTTAATCAGAAAAAGAGAAAAAGAAAATATTGTTTTGTCCTCTAACAGAGTATTGCACCCGACAATTCATTATTACATACCCAACCTTCATGTGATTAAAGACTCACAAAAACTAAATAAGGGTTCGAGAATTGAGATGAAACCAAACTCACTGATGTACTAAGCACTAAGTCTCTTAGAAGACCGCCACCAATTCTTTGCCAAGATCTATATTGCCGCAATCTCTAACAAATAACAAGCCGCCTTCGTTTTTGGTTTGTTATGTTCCCTATGATTGTTGAGCTATAGTTAAGCGCAAAAAACAGGGACACCTAATAAAAGTAAAAAAATATGGGGGCAATTGCTTTTTTTTAGGGGAGGGAAGGGATATTGCTTTTTTTATATAAAATCGGAAATGATCTTTTTTTTTTAGGGGAAAATCGGAAATGATCTTCCAGCGTTTTCTTCGACCTCTGGGCCTAGTTTTCTCGCCCCGGACCAAGCCCAGGCCGGGCATCATCACTCCACTCGACGCCTTCCAGGCTCATCGTGCCTCTCGGCCCGCGGCCACGTCGAGATTTGTGGCGGCCCAGCCCAACGACGATCCAGCCGTTGCTCCGTCCGACGTGGACCGGCGCCTTTGCAACCCGAAGCAAGGCAAGGCAACAGCGGACAGAGATGCTTCCCCTCCCCGCGTCGGCTTGGTCTCTCGGCCCGCCTCCTTCCCGAGCACGCACGCCCCCTCTTCCTCGTCCGCTCCGCTCCGCTCCTGGGTTGCCGTGGAGCGCGGGGGGTTCCATTCCACCCCACCCCTATCCGAACCCCCGCGCCGCCGGCGCGTCGGTTCCTTCGTCTCCCGGTAAGGAACCCTACCCTGCTACTACTGGTTGCTCGGACGGATTCCCTTCTCCTCCTCCCTCCTCTAGCTGCTTATTATAAACGAGTTTCAGTTGCTGCGAATGCGGGCAACCAATTCGAATGCGTCCTCCTCCGGTCGCGCGGATTTCTCCTCTTCGCTGGTACGCCGCTAAGCTAATCTAGCCCATCTATCCGTCCGTGCGTCCTTGCTGCCCGTCGTCTTCCACTGCGGCCGTCGGCGGCTGCTGTTTCAGCGCGCGCGAGATCGGTTCGGTTGACCCGGTAGATAGGATAGGATGGGACGCAAACGCAACTGGATGGTCTTCGACGGTTCTACCCTGCCTCTAGGCTAGCCGCGGCCAGCGCTACTGCGAGGGATTGGGATTCGTGTTTACTGCTGGGTTCCCACCATGCCCCACCTCGCCGAAATCCTCTGTACCCGCCCTTTGTCGCTACTGTTGCGATGAATCCGTCTGTACCTGCTGAAGGACATCTCTAAAGTATGTATGGATGGTTTGTTTTGAGGGCTGTTTGGGTGACACATGATTGCCTGATGGTTTGATTTTGAGGGCTGTTTGGGTGACACCCTGGCCTGGAGGTCTTGCCCAGGCAGCAAATCCTGTCCACAGGCGTTGGAAATCCGACACCTGAGATCGCTGCCTGGTGCGGCAACTCTGCCTGGGCACCAATCCAAACACGACAGGCACGGTGCTCGTGAGTGCTGAGTGGGTAGAGGCTTAATATGGAGTGTCGGTTGCTAGTGTATTGGCTGCATTCAGTTTATCTGGGGGGATTTTGTGATTCGAAATGGCATTATCTCTGCTATCCTTGTTCACTGCTGCTATTTTTCTCTGTTTGTGTAACGGACGTTTAATGCGGTGCAGGGCTCAAGATGATTGGTTCATTCATTACCGGAGTGCTAACGTAAATAACGCACGACACCGACCGCTTTTTTCTTTTCCGTTTCTTTGCTCACGGAGCATTGCTGTTAGGTCATCATACCTGTCATCTGTTTGATCTGTGTTTTCCTGTCTTGCAGGCTTGTTCTCGGATACGCGTACCCAGCCTACGACTGCTACAAGACGGTGGAGCTGAACAGGCCTGAGGCCGAGCAGCTGCGGTTCTGGTGTCAGTACTGGTTCGTAAGGGCGCCCTTCCGCTTTGATGCAGACTTTGCATATGCGGTTCGCTTCATGTTGTAGGGTCGTGGCTTTTGCAGGATTTTACTCGCTTTCTCACCGTACTGGAGAGAGTTGGGGAAAGTTTCGTGTCATGGTAATGCCGTCCCCATGCTACTTTTGAGTTGCTATTTTTAGTAACCTTTGGTGGTTGGAATTGGGGATAGTGATTTACCTTGTTGCTGATTGTTCTGTTCTTACACAGGTTGCCAATGTACAGTGAAGCAAAGTTGGCATTTATCGTGTACTTGTGGTATCCAAAGACACGGGTATAGTATTCTGTTTTCTTTAATTTCTTAGCTTATATACTTCTCTCGTGGTTTGTTTGTAACAACGGGTTATTTCAGGGACTGCCTATGTATATGAGTCATTCTTCAAGCCATACATTGCAAAACATGAAACTGAGATTGATCGAAATCTGCTTGAGTTGAGTACAAGAGCTGGTGACATGGTAGTTCTTTATTACGAGAAGGTTGCAAACTACGATCAGCCCAGCTCCGATGAAATTTTGCAGTATATTGCCTCACAGTCAGAGAGTGAAAGATCTCGCCCTCAGGTATTGCTTCCTTGCATGCCATTTCTTTCTGCTATTACAGCTGTTTTAGCAAGTGGACATATGAAATTCATGCTGCATAATTAATGTCTGAAACTAAGTATTTCCATAAATATAGTAGTGTTAGGTTTCCTTGAGCTTGTGCTCAGATGTTTGTTTCACTATGTCACCTGGACTAACCATTCTCATATATTGAATTTATAAAAAGCCACCTGTATTCATCACCACAAGTTTTTGTTTTTACAACCCGCTCCAGTTATGTTTTTGGGATGCTGGCACATCTAATTGCTGATGCAGAATACAGGAGAGGCATGATGCTGCAGCACCTCTCTCTCTCTGCTAGATAGTGTTTCCACATATTCAATGATAATTGCTTTATTCAGAATTTGAACACGCTGATGTTTTGAAAGCACTAAAATTGACATTCCAGCAAATTGACAGATTCTATACTTGCCAATCATCATGCAAACCTTTTTCCCAGAAATTTCTCCACATGTTGTGTCAACCATGAGATTTCCTATTTCATCCATGCTCAACTGATTTTTGGAACCAATGCTAATTAGTGCGTACTTAGTTCACTAATCACTACTTTTTGGGTAAACACGTGTTGCAAAGTTAGCTGATCATGTACTATTGAAAGTTTTGACACATGCATACAGTGGCGGATGCAGGATGGGAACAAAGGGGGGGCTAAATAATGAAGATTTAGGGCTAGGACTAGAGATTAATGGTGATTTGAGGCTAAGTAACCGTGGTCTAATGAAGAAATCAGGCTCACTAGGCCCTCGGATCCGCCCTGCATGCATATCTCAATGCGGATTTTCCTCTTGTGCTAAGAACTTATGTGCTATTATCTATGAGCCTAAGATTGATTTAGTTGTTTTCATTCTCCTAATGTTAATATAGCCAATATTATCATTAATTTCACCGACTAGACTATTTTTCTCTCGAACATGGACTAGGCTAAAACTTTTATGCAATCAAAGTGGCTAAATTTTTTTGAGTTATTGGCCACTGATCTATTAACAGTTTCTGTTGTGGATGATGGCATTTGGTATGGTTTATGGTATCATTTGCCTGTGATGTTGCTACTGCTCCCCATCTTGTGTCTAATTGCTGCAGCTGCCCAGCCCGTCTCAGGCAATTATTAAGTGCTAGCCTATATGGCATAGTCGCTTGTCTAGTACCTAGCACATTTTAGAAAAAACTGTGGTTCTGTAGTTCCGTTAAGTTTCCATACTGTTGTACCCCCTATTCGAGGGCCTGTTTGGAACGCAGGAATCAAAACACGGAATAGGAAAAAACACAGGAATGGGGTGAGTGTGTAGTGGTAAAATAGAGGAAAAAGGAAAACGCGGGAAATAACTAGAAGGGGTGTTTGGAACGCAGGAATCCATAACACAGGAAAAACGCAGGAATCCATAACACAAGCGTGGCGCAAGCACCGTGAGGGAAATTTTCCCTTGGATCTGACCTCATTTTTTCTTTCCTCCAAAAGTACAAGCTTCGCTGCCGTTCCTTTGGAAAGGTTCGTGCCTTCCTTCGCTCCAAACGCACGAGACAATCCTTTCCTCCGAACTCAATCCTTCACTTTTCCTCCGCTTTTCCTTCGCTTCCAAACGGGCCTGAAAAATGTGCACCAGGATCATTTGTCCTATCCTGTAGTCTGCTTTACTCAATTTCTTCAGCATGAGGTCTCTCTGGCAGCCATATTGCTGCGTGTTTTTGGTTGCATGGGCATCCTGATAAGTCCAATGGGTTATTGGATATTTGGATTGCATTCTGCAAACTTTAAGAAGAGGATAGCAGACAGCCATATTGTTCTTTCCTCAAGAAAAGAACTATTGCTGTGAGGTTATTTAGGAGCCTTCATGCTATCCGGCTTAGCATGTCCAGAAAATGGGCTTTTGAAAGAACCAAAATGAAATAAAATGCTGCTGAATCAAGTCTGTCAGATAGCAATTCTTTATGGGCTTTTCAGAGAACCAAAATGAAATAAAATTCTGCTGAATCAAGTCTGACAGATAGCCAATTCTTTATGGGCTTTTCAAAGAACCAAAATGAAATTAAATGCTGCTGAATCAAGTCTGTCAGACAGCCAATTCTTTATGGGGTTCAGCGCTTCTGTAGTTCTAGCATGAGGTGATGGAAATTTTTTGAGATTAGAGCAGATATGATCAAGAGGTATAGGCTAAACAAGTGGAGTCATATTCATTAAGGTTGTGAGGTGACATGTCAGCTAGCATTTTTTCCTTGATTATAATTAATCCTGTCATGGGAAGTTCTTTTATATCTTCTGTTTTTTCTGTTATATTGTTTTTTGCTTGATTAATTCTGAGTTGGTTGTATGATCGATGTACCATGAGTAGTTTTTGACCGAATACCATGAGTAATTTTTGACTGAATACCATGAGTCAATTTTTTTTCAGCCTGTAGTGGTAGGTTGTGAATCTTCTTTAATGTAGATAAAAATGAACGACCAATTCATGCTTTTGTCTGTATTATCGTGCTTCTAGTAGACCTCTACTACTTATTTCATGCATAGTTTAGATCGTTAATTATGAATATTATGAAATATTGTGAATAATAGTGATGTTTTTACCATGCACTGGGGTCAGTGACTTGAGAGGCACATATTATCTCAATTGCATTGTGATATGACTGATATCTGTTTTAGAATTTCACCATGTGATTTTCTGTTCATTCTATTGACAAATCATGTTCCTTTCATGATTGTTGCCGCTGACTGTCAGCTGATGTTAAAGCATGTGGTTATGATTGTTGGTGTCTTTACTGGACTGTGATATTTGCGCAGCATACTGATTTGTCTTCACTGCCTCTTCCTTTCTGCAGGCACAGCAACAGCAGCAGCGCCCACCACCGCCACGGACTCGGCAAGTGAACCCTGCACCTCCACCTGTTCCCGCACCATCCGCGCCCCGATGCCACCACAGCCTGCCCAAGCTCAAGTTCCTCCCACTCCACCAAGGCCCCCAGTTCCAGTGGCCCCTCCTGGTGCAGTGCCTCCTGCCCAGCCACAGCCAGCACCTGCTCCTGAAGCCGCTGCTACCAAAGGTCCTCAGGACACTGAAGCCATGCAAGTCGACCCACCCCGTCCGTCAGTGAGCGGCGCACCGCCACCACTACCACCTGTGGAGACGCTCATCGAGGAGGCGATCCAGCTGACGCGGGCCGGCTCAGGAGGCGCTTGGCTGGAGGATCTGGACTACCGCCAATTAGCATCACCAAGGTTCATATCACACCTAATCGCTCCACACTGGGCTGGTTCTGGTGCTTGACTGACAAAAGCGGCAGATGCTGGGTTGGTTAAACAGAGTTTGGGTTTCCTGGCACGCGGTCTCCAATGTACGAACTGGAACCAGTTTGGTCTTTGATTCATGGCTCAAATTGTGAATAGAATCCCAGAAACAGAAGTGGACGATGTGATGCTAGCCATAGATCAATTCACAGGGTAGCGCTAGGAAATCTGATTGGGAACCATCTTCTGCGAAACGCTCAATGTCTGAAGTACGCCTCTTCTGGTTCTTGAAGAACCAAAAAATTACCTGTATTCATTAGCATTTAGCAACGATGGTACTACTGGTTAAAGTAGACTGGAATCCAAATGCCAAGAACCAAAAAGAACAGTGCCTGTATCTGTATGTTTGCATCCCACATCATGGTGAGTGTGTGACCCGTCGTAGCATGTGATTCGCGTTTTCTCTGTTAGCATCCAGTTGGACGGCTTGTACCACCGTATACCTGTCGTATGTTTCTGAATAGGACACCGTGATCCCTTTGGTGACCTTTGCAGCCACGAAAGTGTACCTGTCGTATATTTCTTAATATGACACCGTGATCCCTTTGGTTACCTCTGCAGCCAACGTTGAATTGTCAACAGATCGAGCTGGAATATATTTCTATATCTATTGAGGAAACCAGACCTGGAATATATGAACCCTGAACCCTGGCGATTCTTATTTGGCCCAGATATGTAAATAAACACACATAAGAAAAAAGAAAACATTACAATTTTACGGCACGATAACTAATCAGGATCGCTACAAATATCCAAAAATTTCCATTTATTCCTGGCGTGTGCCCGATAGTCAGCAATCTCATTCGCAAAAAAAGGTCAGCAAGCTCTCTCGTCTCTCCCCCCTTCACATCTCAGCATTTTGTATTGCGTTTTACATTCCGTAATTAAGTTTTTCTAAATGTGTGGGCTGTTCATATGGTGTTAGGACTTAAACCACCTCTGATGTCCAAATCTTATTTGATAACAGGTATCATAGAAGAGACAGTTTTTAGATTATTTTTACTAGTAAACGTGCCCGTGCGTTACAACAGGATAAAAAAAAATATTAACAGAAAACAGAGTGTTATATATCTATCTATTTATATTTTTTTAATAAAATTTTAAACTATAATTTATTTTATGATAACCATGACATCCCTAGTATAAGTTAATATTGGTAATAATATGACTATGTTTCAAATTAAAATACAATCTTTATAGTTTTTCTCCTATTGTAAGGCATAGAAATATTTACTCATAAATATATCATAACTTTAATTTTCATACGATCCATATGTTTGTAAGTTAATTACCGAGTCCTGTGAGTTCCTTCGAGGATCCACAAAAATATGTAATTCTAATCTCTGTTTAAAGTCGCAAAAAGTTAGTTGCCGTCGTGTTAAAGATTGGTCTCAGCGGCAGATCGTGCAGCCAAATGAAGGGAGGGGTGGTGGTGGTGGTGCAATCAGTAGTTGATTCTACTTGTCTGTAAATGTCTGCCATTTGCTGCAGCGGCGATGGCTGTTGGCACTCATCAAACCGGCTATTCTATTCATCTTCTCTGACTCTGGGTTTTCAGTTTGAGAAAAGCTTACACAACAGCTAGAAGATATGAATGTATGCGTGGAGGGCTAGGGTAGGGGCGACAGCCTAGGTTCGCCTCCACTGCCCTCCACTAGTGATTGGTTATGACGAAGATCTCTCTTGATTTCCACATGGCAACTCTAGTCGAGGAATGCAATGGTATATGCGTATTTATTAGTAAATATGTCCATGCATTGCAACGGGCGATGTGCAACCAAACCGAGTGGTAGTTGGGATGAAAAAAGGCACAGGTGATTAGGTTGGATGAAAATTTGTTGGCAAAAAATTGGCTGTTTAATATTAGGTATAGATTAGCAAACATGTTCGTACATTGCAAAAGGACAAATAGCTTGTTACGCGGTTACCAGGATGACTTGTGGCTTAGATATTTATTCGATAATAATATCGTCATGCATTCTAGTTCATTTTTTGAATCGAACACACCTTGACACACACCACTCTAAATTGTATAGACACGTGAAGATTGGAGATTTATTCAATGGTCACATTATGCATTCGAATTTGTCTTATGATCGGACTCTGCACCATGCCTGTATACGCTGGTGTAACTCATACATGTTTGTACGGGTTTGAGAGAGACTGGTGGGTCATGGGAACGTTTTGTATCCTAGTTATCTTAGGATCGGATTACACACTATACCTAGATACACTAATGTAACTCGTATATTTGTCATAGAGGATCCAATTCTATATCATACTTGGACACGTTGCTCTAACTTATATAAGCATTGCATATAGAGTGATGGGCAATAGAAATGCTCTGTAGCTACTTTAAGATTATGTATAGATACGTGCGTCGCCATGCAAATGCTGAACTTTTGCTCCAAAGTGCAAATAAATAATTGATGAGCCAATATTACACTTTGTACTTGGTCAAACACACACATGCTGACCCACTTTGTTGGTGCAAGCGTCGAAGTGCTGAACACAAGCAGACTTGCCCAAGCTAGCTGCCACTCTGGTTTTCAGGCTATGATGTCTTGTTACAGCTTCACCGGCATGCAGTGCATGTGCGTCGATTGTGCTGAAGTTGCCAATGAGCCACCATCAGCAGGTAGTAACGCACGTAAGGGCCTACTACGGCTAGCAATCAGACAAGCGCGCAAGGAAACGTGGATCATGACGGACTCCGTTTCTTTTTTTAGGACGAGGCAAACCGAGAAGTAAACGTGATAGCGTGACCGAGACCAAACCTTATTGCCAACGGGTAGGTTTGGATCAGAGCAAGTGCAAGGTAGATGGATGAAAAACAAAACACGGCACAAATTTTGACTCTTAAATATTAGGTAGTATAGATTGACAGAAGCAACAATGATTTATTGGTCCATTTGGCTCACAAGAAACTACACACTTACTAGTGACAGCAGAAGCGCTTAATTTCACCACAATACGAAATCAGCCTAGATCGTCACCTACTCACGAATGGAAACATATGCATCATATATATATGGAGAAAATAGCAGCAGTCACAACCGGTTCCAATCAGCTATGTTCACATCAACCGTAGCTGCAACTGGATCACAACACAACACTAGCAACAAGCACAACTAGTTACGGACAAATCACATGCAATCTAGCAGTCGCAGCTTAGTTGCAGCCAAGCTCATGAAGAACAATAAGACACCAGATTTAACGGAAAACCCCTAAATCAGGGTAAAACCACGGGACCAAGCCAACCAAATCTTCTTCCACTATTTGCTTGTGGGATTACAATAAGTTCATCTCTAGATAGCACTAGATGCAATCATACATCAAGATACGTAGATTTTGGATAACAATAATAAGATTTGGGGCTGCTACTTAGGGAGTGGAAAGACTTCACCAAATGATAGTGGAACTCAGATTAGAGGCACCAAGGATGTGGATCTGAAGCTTCACTACCTTGAGGACGAACCCTTCTTGATCTATTGCAAGATCTCCTCTCTAATCTCGCTCTTCTCCCTCTCTTTTCTTTCTCCGGTTTTTCCCTCTCTCACACGCAAGGAACACAAGGGGTTGAACTGGAGCTGCTTTGTTCTCTCTCTGCTGAACTGAGACTCACGAAGCTTCCCTTCTCTTGTAAGCCAAGAGGCAAAACACTAGATGCACACAAGGTTGGTCCATTTCCTGTGCTGCACCTATGATGTGGGCCTACTCACTAGGAGCATTTACTCTCCTCAACACCCATTCATAAGGAGGATTTCCCAACATATCTCCCCTCCAACTCATGAGGGGGGGCACCATCATGCCCGCTACCTCATTGCATACTTGCGCCTTCTCCTTCGTAGCACTTTGGTCATCATATCCGCACCATTGTGGTCGGTATGGATTTTCTCAAGCTGCAACAACTTGGAACTCACCACTTCTTGAATCCAATGGTACCGCACGTCAATGTGCTTGTTCAAGAATGAAAGCTTGAATTCTTGGCAAGATGAATGGCACTTTGGTTGTCACAAAACAGATTGTACTTCTCTTGCTTATGTCCCAACTCTTGCAAGAAGTTTTTCATCCATAACACTTCCTTGCAAGCTTCAACCGCCTGCAATGTACTCGCCTCTGTTGTTGATAATGAAATGCACTTCGCAACCTTGATTGCCATGACACTCGCCCCCCGCAAATGTCATCAGTATCCCGATGTGGACTTTCTCGAGTCCCATCTCCAAAGATAATCGCATCTTTATAGCCATGCAATATAGGATCATCATTTCCAAAACATAAACACATTCTGAAGTACCTTCAGATACCTGAGAATCCACTTTACTACATCCCAATGTGCTTCTCCTGGATTACTCATGAACTGGCTAACAACCCCAACTGCATAGGCAAGATCAGGCCTAGTGCACACCATGGCATACATCAAACTACCCACAACAGATTGGTAAGGTACTTTCTTCATTGCTTATTTCTCCTTTTTGCTTGTAGGACAATGATCCTTACTCAATTTGTGATGTCCTGCAAGTACAAAGTTAACTGGTTTTGCATTTTGCATATTAAACCTTTCAAGTACCTTCTCAATATATTCTTCCTGTGATAGCCAAATCTTCTTGTTTGCTCTATCACGGGAGATCCTCATGCCAAGTATTGTTTTGCTGGACCCAAATCCTTCATGGCAAATGACTTGCCCAACGCCTTCTTCAGAAGAGCAATTCTTTTGTGTTATTTTCTACAATCAACATATCAAGCAAGAGGATAATAAAATCACCTCGACATACTTCTTCATAAAGGCACAATGATCAGATCGTGTGTTTATGGTAACCAAGATTTGTCATAAAAGACTCAAACTTCTCGTACCAATCGCCGAGGAGCTTGCTTCAAGCCATATAAGCTTTTTGTTCAATTTGCAAACCAAGTGTTCTTTGCCTGCAACCGCAAACCCTTCTGGTTGCTCCATATAAATCTCCTCCTCTAGGTCACCAT